ACAATAACAAACCCAAAACAATTAAGAAAATGGGAATAGGAACATACATATCGATAATTACCTTAAATGTAAATGGATTAAATGCTCCCACCAAAAGACACAGACTGGCTGAATGGATACAAAAACAAGACCCATATATATGCTGTCTACAAGTGACCCACTTCAGACCTAGGGACACATACAGACTGAAAGTGAGGGCATGGAAAAAGATATTCCATGCAAATGGGAACCAAAAGAAAGCTGGAGTAGCAATTCTCATATCAGACAAATAGACTTTAAAATAAAGACTATTACAAGAGACAAAGAAGGACACTACATAAAGATCAAGGGATTGATCCAAGAAGATATAATAATTGTAAATATTTATGCATCCAACATAGAAGCACCTCAATACATAAGGCAAATACTAACAGCCATAAAAGGCAAAATCGACAATAACACATTCATAGTAGGGGACTTTAACACCCCACTTTCACCCATGGACAGATCATCCAAAATGAAAATAAATAAGGAAACATAAGCTTTAAATGATACATTAAACAAGATGGACTTAATTGATATTTATAGGATATTCCATCCAAAAACAACAGAATACACATTCCTCTCAAGTGCTCATGGAACATTCTCCAGGATAGTTCATATCTTGGGTCACAAATCAAGCCTCAGTAAATTTAAGAAAATTGAAATTGTATCAAGTATCTATTCCAACCACAACGCTATGAGACTATATATCAATTACAGGAAAAGACCTGTAGAAAATACAAACACATGGAGGCTAAACAATACACTACTGAATAACGAAGTGATCACTGAAGAAATCAAAGAGGAAATCAAAAAATACCTAGGAACAAATGACAATGAGACATGACAACCCAGAACCTATGGGATGCAGCAAAAGCAGTCCTAAGAGGGACGTTTATAGCAATACAATCCTACCTGAGGAAACAGGAAACATCTTGAATAAACAACCTAACCTTGCACCTAAAGCAATTAGAGAGAGAAGAACAAAAAACCCCAAAGTTAGCAGAAGGAAAGAAATCATAAAGATCAGATCAGAAGTAAATGAAAAAGAAATAAAGGAAACGATAGGAAAGCTCAATAAAACTAAAAGCTGGTTCTTTGAGAAGAGAAACAAAATTGATAAACCATTAGCCAGATTCATCAAGAAAAAAAGGAAGAAGACTCAAATCAATAGAATTAGAAATGAAAAAGAAGTAACAACTGACACTGCAGAAATACAAAAGATCATGAGAGATTACTACAAGCAACTCTATGCCAATAAAATGGACAAATTCTTAGAAATACACAACCTGCCAACATTGAATCAGGAAGAAATAGAAAATAAGAACAGACCAATCACAAGTATTGAAATTGAAACTGTGATTAAAAATCTTCCAACAAACAAAAGCCCAGGACCAGATGGCTTCACAGGCGAATTCTATCAAACATTTAGAGAAGAGCTAACACCTATCCTTCTCAAACTCTTCCAAAATATAGCAGAAGGAGGAACACTCCAAACTCATTCTACGAGGCCACCATCACCTTGATACCAAAACCAGACAAAGGTGTCACAAAGAAAGAAAACTACAGGCCAATATCACTGATGAACATAGATGCAAAAATCCTCAACAAAATACTAGCAAACAGAATCCAACAGCACATTAAAAGGATCATACACCATGATCAAGTGGGGTTTATTCCAGGAATGCAAGCGTTCTTCAATATATGCAAATCAATCAACGTGATAAACCAAATTAACAAATTGAAGGAGAAAAAGCATATGATCATCTCAATAGATGCAGAGAAAGCTTTCGACAAAATTCAACACCGATTTATGATAAAAACCCTGCAGAAAGTAGGCATAGAGGGAACTTTCCTCAACATAATAAAGGCCATATATGACAAACCCACAGCCAACATCGTCCTCAATGGTGAAAAACTGAAACCATTTCCACTAAGATCAGGAACAAGACAAGGTTGCCCACTCTCACCACTCTTATTCAACATAGTTTTGGAAGTTTTAGCCACAGCAATCAGAGAAGAAAAGGAAATAAAAGGGATGCAAATTGGAAAAGAAGAAGTAAAGCTGTCACTATTTGCAGATGACATGATACTATATATAGAGAATCCTAAAGATGCTACCAGAAAACTACTAGAGCTAATCAATGAATTTGGTAAAGTAGCAGGATACAAAATTAATGCACAGAAATCTCTGGCATTCCTATACACTAATGATGAAAAATGTGAAAGTGAAATGAAGAAAACACACCCATTTAGCATTGTAACAAACAGAAGTAAATATCTAGGAATAAACCTACCTAAGGAGACAAAAGACCTGTATGCAGAAAATTATAAGACACTGATGAAAGAAATTAAAGATCATAGAAATAGATGGAGAGATATACCATGTCCTTGGATTGGAAGAATCAACATTGTGAAAATGACTCTACTATCCAAAGCAATCTGCAGATTCAATGCAATCCCGATTAAACTACCACTGCCATTTTTCACAGAACTAGAACAAAAAATTTCACAATTTGTATGGAAACACAAAAGACCCCGAATAGCCAAAGCAATCTTGAGAATGAAAAATGGAGCTGGAGGAATCAGGCTCCCTGACTTCAGATTATACTACAAAGCTACAGTAATCAAGACGGTATGGTACTGGCACAAAAACAGAAATATAGATTAATGGAACAGGATAGAAAGCCCAGAGATAAACCCATGCACATATGGTCACCTTATCTTTGATAAGGGAGGCAGGAATGTACAGTGGAGAAAGGACAGCCTCTTCAATAAGTGGTGCTGGGAAAACTGAACAGGTACATATAAATGTATGAGATTAGCACACTCCCTAACACTGTATGCAAAAATAAGCTCAAAATAGATTAAAGACCTAAATATAAGGCCAGAAACTATCAAACTCTTAGAGGAAAACATAGGCAGAACACTCTATAACATAAATCACAGCAAGATCCTTTTTGACCCACCTCCTAGAGAAATGGAACTAAAAATAAAAATAAACAAATGGGACCTAATGAAACTTCAAAGCTTTTGCACAGCAAAGGAAACCATAAGCAAGACCAAAAGACAACCCTCAGAATGGGAGAAAATATTTGCAAATGAAGCAACTGACAAAGGATTAATCTCCAAGACAAACAAACAGCACATGCAGCTCAATAACAAAAAAACAAACAACCTGGGCTTCCCTGGTGGTGTAGTGGTTGAGAATCCGCCTGCCGATGCAAGGGACATGGGTTCGTGCCCCAATCCGGGAAGATCCCACATGCCGCAGAGTGGCTGGAGCCGTGAGCCATGGCCGCTGAGCCTGCGCGTCCGGAGCCTGTGCTCCACAATGGGAGAGGTCACAACAGTGAGAGGCCCTTGTACCGCAAAAAAAAAAAAAAAACAAAACCCAATGCAAAAAAGGGCAGAGCTAAATAGACATTTCTCCAAAGAAAATATACAGATTTCCAACAAATACATGAAAGAATGTTCAACATCATTAATCATTAGAGAAATGCAAATCAAAACTACAATGAGATATCATCTCACACCGATCAGAATGGCCATAATCAAAAAATCTAGAAATAATAAATGCTGGAGAGGGTGTGGAGAAAAGGGAACACTCTTGCACTGCTGGTGGGAATGTGAATTGGCACAGCCGCTATGGAGAACAGTATGGAGGTTCCTTAAAAAATAGAACTACCATATGACCCACTAATCCCACTACTGGGCATGTACCCTGAGAAAACCATAATTCAAAAAGAGTCATGTACCAAAATGTTCATTGCAGCTCTATTTACTAGCCAGGAGATGGAAGCAACCTAAGTGTCCATCAACAGATGAATGGATAAAGAAGATGTGGCACGTATATACAATGGAATATTACTCAGTCATAAAAAGGAACGAAACTGAGTTATTTGTAGTGAGGTGGATGGACCTAGAGTCTGTCACACAGAGTGAAGTAAGTCAGAAAGATAAAGACAAATACCGTATGCTAACACATATATATGGAATCTAAGAAAAAAAAAATGTCATGAAGAACCTAGGGGTAAGACGGGAATAAAGACACAGGCCTACTAGAGAATGGATTTGAGGATATGGGGAGGGGGAAGGGTAAGCTGTGACAATGTGAGAGAGTTGCATGGACATATATACACTACCAAACGTAAGGTAGATAGCTAGTGGGAAGCAGCCGCATAGCACAGGGAGATCAGCTCGGTGGTTTGTGACCACCTAGAGGGGTGGGATAGGGAGGGTGGGAGGGAGGGAGACGCAAGAGAGAAGAGATATGGGAACATATGTATATGTATAACTGATTCACTTTGTTATAAAGCAGAAACTAACACATCATTGTAAAGCAATTATACTCCAATAAAGACGTTAAAACAAACAAACAAGAAACAATGGAAAGATAATGTGCATTTGTATTTTATTGAATCTTTCTATCCAGAGAAACAAACCATCAGTCTATTTATTCATGTCTTCTTTCATTTTCTTCAGTGAATTTTGTCTGTATAATTCTGTACAATTCTGCATAATATGTCAGTATAATTTTTTGATAAGTTTGTGTTTTCTAGGAATATAATCACAAAATCTGAAAACAATAATTAAATCATCACTTTACAAAAAAAAAGAATCATAGAGAAATGCAACATGTCAATGATAGAAATACAAAGCTGTACACAAAATAATGAAAGATTAGAGGTTCTTTAACTGTCTAATCAGAGTAATAATGGAATGAATTATGGGATATTAAACCAATGAAATATTCTGCAGATATTCATAACTGTATCTCTGAGAAATTTATAATAATACAGCAAAATATGATGTGTACTGGTAAAAAGAAAACTAAATAGAATTTGATATTGCTTATATACACCTATGAAAATCCCTAAAGGTGAACATAGATAAAATATTAGAAGAAAATATACTAAAGGTTAAAAGACATGACCTTTGAAGGATAATATTTAAAGTGGGTTTTTTTATCTTATTTCTCCTTTTTGTATTTTCTAAATTTTCTCTAATAAGAAAGGAAAACATTTTTAAAATAAGAAACTGTACAGTTTTTTTCTCCTTTCTTTCAGTTGGATCGCCCCGGTATGGCTTTATTACTTTATAACAGTGACATTTTCTGATCTGGGAAATAACCTCACAAAATGGGAAAGCAAATTCAAAAATCAATGTTCATTTGTTTTAAATTATATGTGATTTTGAATTCTTCATTCTTCACCAATAATCTAAAGGTAACACACAACAAAGGTAAAACTTGGAAATCCTGTCATTTTTTATTTAAATCCAACATGGTGGATAGCATGTGTGTAGCATGAAGTGTTACTTTGAAATCATTTTTTTTCGAAAGTGACAAACTACCAAATGAAAAAGAAGACATGTTTGTGAAAAAAGTAATTTCCAATATTGTTAGAGGGAAATATAACAGGTTTAGCTAAGCAAGGACTAAACAAGGGATCAGTTATATATTTAATGAATCACATAGGGAATAAGTTATTTATAGAATTGTAATTTGGTGTATTTGTTAAATTTCACTGGTATTAAAAAAAGCATTATCATAGCACAGTTATTGCTTTTTGAAATTTATTATTTCTTTAATAATCACTATGTGAGAAACTACCCTTTAAAATACGTCTTAGGGTCTTCTTCCATGTAGAACATATGATACCTAATATCATGTGAGCTCTTAATTTAACCATCTGAGAAATAATATAGTATAATTAACTACCATTTTTAATCTATCTTAGCCATTTCCAATACTCATGACCATAACATACAACTAAAAAAGAATAACAATAATAAAAGGACTGACAAACCATATATCAATTCTTAATAGGATACAAAGATTTTCTGGGATAACAAAGGTTCGAGTGAACGTTCCAAATAGTTTACTCAGTTGATGGCCTATTCCAAAGTATGAGACAAATTCAATGCAAATCGTTATTTCATACGGAAAAGCTAGAGTAGCACTTTCAGAATAAAGCAAATTTCCCATGGACTGAATGTGGCACATCTTGGCCTATTTTGTGATAGAGATTGCCAAAAGAGGAGGAAATGTATATCTTATTATTATTTGAGGACCTAGAGTTCATATTTATTTAAGTATATATTTGATTTATTTAAAGTAATAAATCTAAAATAAGGAGTGTGCTGCAAAATACATAGTATGTAGCCTAGGACAATTCATCTTTTGATACTCTTGATGACATCTCAAAGCAAACTATTATTTATCATAATTATTTTTGGAGAAAATACTAGTTAGTACATAATTTAATTTCTTATAATGACCTAAAGTCACATTTTCTAATCAAAGTTTCAATTCTCCTCCTCCATGTCTTAGATTTTCTGGTCAAATGCAGTCTCAGAAATATATACAAACTTAATCAGAAAAACACTGATGCACTCCAAGGGAAAATACACTGGTGTGTGTGTGTGTGTGTGTGTGTGTGTATTTTGGGGTGTGGGTCAGGGTAGGGAGACAGAAAGAAAAGTGGGAGAGAAAACTAGATATCTAGATAGATTTAAACTATATGAAAAATACATACAGAAAAATTAAAGACTGCACATTATATTTCAATAATCCTTGAAAATGTTTTAGCAATATCTGGATCAGAGTAATCAGCTAAATTCTGTATGGTGAGGCTTGCTTTTATGGTTAAGAGCTTCACAATCTAAGAATCTTCATGTTGAACATAAATAACCACTTTTCCTTTTGAGTATAGAAACTGAAGGAGATTGAGCTCGTGGATTTCTAACTAAAAGATGGGATCCAGAAGTTGTTTTACCACACACGCAGATTCTCGACATACCTCATTTTCAGATGACTTGCTTCTTACCCTCAAAGAGGAATACAGAAAATAAAATCAGTTATTGAAATAGTTTTTTTGAACTGATGTGATAACACATACAGAGCTAGACCTAAACATCTTACCAACTGGCATATATTAGGTATTCCAAAATGCAAAATCTGAGGACAACTCAGATGCCTTTAGAATGAGAAATTGAGATACCGCATAAGGAAAAGTTAGGAAGTAATGAAGTGACAATAAATTCATGAAGTGACAACTGTCATAGTTGGCTCTGTAGCAAAACTGAGTCTCTCCAACTAAGGATCATCCCACATTCCCTTGGGTTTTATGAGTTCTCTGAGAATTTAAAAATTTTACTTTTTCATTTAAAGGTAAGCCTTAAAACTAATTTTGACAAGATTAAAGGTTAAGCACTCTTTTTCAGTGATAATTACCATGTGAGAGACATTTTAAAAGTCTAAGCCTTTAGTTTTCCAAGTCAGTGTTTCTCAAACTGGTGAACCTTGGAATTTTCAGGGACTAATAAGAAAATGTCTAATTAGTCACATGAGGCCTGTGAGTCCCAAATCTTCCTGATCATCTGAGGCATTAAATATGTCTTTCCCAGCTCCTCCCTTACAGAGTCAGCAGTCTCAGTAGGGACTGTGGAATGTAAAAATGATAGGATTACCTGAGGTAATTTTTACCGCCAGGCAAGTTTGGCATGTACTGCATTAAAAGAAATTGGCTCTCAAGTATAAAGCTCAGAGGATTAGAGGCAAGAAGAGAGATTTGTTTGGCTCCAAAGCCCCTAATATTTTACTACATCAGATAGAACTCCATTACCACCCACTTCCAAATTCCATCCAGTGTCATAACCAACTAATCAAATTCACTTCAGTATACCATGCAGCTTGGTACTGGTTATTTACATTATTGTGAAATCAACACTCTTGTATGTGGAATTACAATTTGCAATTCTGTCCTCGTTATCCTGAATTTTCTTCAATAGAACTGTCTTGCCTCTGCATATAAGGAGTTGAAGATGCAGTTAGTAAGCTGAACTATTTGAATTTTAGACACTTCTGGAAATTTATGCAGACAACAGAAAGCATATATGAATTTGATAGTGCTTTAAAAAAGAATCAGAGGACTTCCTGCTCTGATGTGAAGGCAGGCCCATCAGCATGAATCAAAACAAAGGAATCATTTCCTCTTTTTTTTGATGCTAATTCACTCTGGAGTCATCCTTCTGAGTCTCCGCTTAAGGCTTTTAAAAAACTTGGGGAAAATATGTCACAAAATGGATCCTTTTTAAATATTACAGGGACTTGCGGGCTTATTCGTTGTTGGCACTTGCATGTCCTCAATCAACAGTCTAGAAGACAACAGAGCTCACTAATCCCCACTGACTACTTTTAAACAGATTGCAGATTTCAGTATCCAATGGAAACGTAAAGGCAATAGCATGGAAAGATTGCAAAGCAACTCTTCTAGTGTCTGGCCAAGTCAAAGAATAAAGAAGTTCCCCACCTACTTCTTTACATTCACTCAGACAGTGAAGGAAAGTGTACTGACCACTTCTGTCTTCTGGCTCTTTCCCAGCTGGGCAATCTTACCTCGCTGCAATTTCCCTTTAGCCTACCCTGCTCCAGATATACAGTCACCTTTTTGTTTCTCAAGGCTGAATCCTTCTCATCCTTAAAGATTCCAGGCTCCTTAGAGAGGCCTTCTCTGATAACTCTATATAAAATATCCACTTCTGTCTACTTTCTATCATATCACACCACTTTTTTTTGCATAGAACAGAAACTTTAGCTGTCTTGTTTACATTTGTATACCCAGTACATGTACCAGTCCCTGGATCACAGAAGGTCTTAAATACCTTCACTTCCTTTAAAGTGAAGGAATGAATAAGGGAATGAATTAGTAAATATCCTGTATCTAGTATTCACCTAAACAGTAGAGATGCAAAGTTGAATCAGACGTGGTAAACTCACAGAACTTACCGAGCCAGATGAACGTTAGACAAGTTTAATACCCAAGGTTTGTGTTTTAGAAAGATCACTGTGGATGGGTAAAGTATGAAAATGGATTGGAAAAGAGCTGGACTGAATGTAGGCTAAGTACTTTGGAGACTATCAGAGTAAAGCAAACAAAATATTATGAGGCTCCAAAGTAAGGTGGTGATATAAGGAAAAAAAAAGAAACTGATCCTAAAGATGTTAAGGAGGGTGAATTAATTGTCTGTAAGAAATGAGGAAGATGTTGAATTTTGATCTTAGATTACAGTCTTAGGTAGCTACATAAATAAAGGTGACTTTCACTGAAATAAGGATATAGTAAAAGGACCATGTTGTTGTGAAAATGTATAAGAAGGAGAGAAAATATTATGTGTTAAGATTCTAACATATTGAGTTTGAACTGTCCAACATGTGTGTTCTTTCCACACCACCAAGCAAGTAACTCAGTTCTCTGTGGACACTGACCAGGCATTTCACAAATTTAGCTCAATTCTGACACTATCTATCTGGAGTTAACCATCAAATGCCACAGCTTAAGGGCTCAGTCCCACAAGCCTGCCCCTCTCCCCCACTCCCAATTCAGCACTAATCCCAAATCCAGGTTGTCACCTGTGCTTCTAAGTCACAGGCTATAGATCAGAGGTTCCAACACCCGCCTCCTGGGGTTCCATTAATTTACTACAGCAGCTCACAGAAACATTTACTTAATAAATCACCAGTTCATTATAAAGGGTATTATAAAGGATACAGATGAACAGCCAGATGGAAGAGATGTATAGGGTTGGGTCTAGGGAAAGGGGTGGGGAGCTTCCATGCTCTCCCACTGTACCACTCTCTCCAGATCTCCATGTGTTCACCAGTCTGGAAACTCTCTGAAGCTCATCCTTTCGGGCTTTCCTTGGAGGCTTCATTTCTTAGACATGACTGATTCAATCATTGGCCATTAGTGATTGGACTCCATCTCCAGCCCCTCTCCCCTCCCCAGATGTGGGGCTGGGGTAGGAGTAGGCGGGAGTACTGAAAGTTCCAACCCTCTAATCATGTGGTTGGCTCCACTAGCAACCAGCCCTCAGCCTTAGGTTACCTAGGGGCTTTTCAAAAGTCACTTCATGAGCATAACAGAAGACACCCATTGCTCTCATCACTTAGGAAATCCCAGGGACTCAGGACTTCTGTGCCACGAATGGGGACAAAGACCAAATATATATTTCTCTTTACAAACCACACTATGACAGCTGTCTGTTGGATCCAGAACTTGAGATGTTCAGGGGGCATTTAGATAGAGGTATCTGAATATTCCGGACAGAGATATAGGTTGGAAGTTTAAATGGGGCATCTTTGGTACATACAGAGATTGTACTAAAAACCATAGAAAGAAAGGAAATAAGCCAAAGAGCTCTAATAGAAATAGAACACACGAAGGTCAAGGACAAAATTGGAAGGTGTACATGCAAATAGGCACTCATAGAAACACATGCAACACATGCATCAAGGGGTGGCTGGCTTAGCATTCATAAAAGGGATAAAAATTTCCACTGCACCTGGCTAAAACGATTGCCCATACAGCATAGTTATAAAGTAGAACAGTCCCCTTGGGAAGGCCATGTGCTGAATGAAAGAGTTGGAATAAAGCCAGAAACTACTATCTTCCCAATATACTAGGTACCAATGTATCATATAGCCTTTGGTAACTGTTACCCTTTAAGGAAACACAAAGACAAAAAACACCTGACATTTACCAAAAATGTAAAATTCTTTCCTTAGAAAAGTCTGAATCATTGACATAATTTTGTGAGCCAAAAAAAAAGGCAAGGATAAGTAATCAGAAATAGATATACCTTTGGGCTTCCCTGGTGGCGCAGTGGTTGAGAGTCCGCCTGCCGATGCAGGGGACACGGGTTCATGTCCCTGGTCCGGGAAGATCCCACATGCCGTAGAGCGGCTAGGCCCGTGAGCCATGGCCGCTGAGCCTGCGCGTCCGGAGCCTGTGCTCCGCAACAGGAGAGGCCACAACAGTGGAAGGCCCGCGTACCGCAAAAAAAAAAAAAAGAAAGAAAAGAAGAGGATACAAGTTTTAATTCAGTCTGCTAATGTGTATCTGATCCTTCTCCTCCCAAAGGAGTCCGCTCTTTCTATAAATGAGTACACCTGAGCCATGAAACTTATAAGGGTAACATGTTTACCGAGTATGTGCAAATTTAAAAGTCCCGTAATTAAAGCATCATAGTTTTTAATATCCACTAAAGGCTTTTGTCTCACCCCACCACCCTGCTCTATTCTAAATCATCACATGAGGAATATGGATATTCCTACTGATGGTTTGAAATGAAAGCTGGAATTACTTCTTAAAAGGGAACTGGTGAATGAGAGCAAAAATTAAAATTTTTAATTAAAAAATTTAAAAGCAGCAGGCTGTTTTACTGCATAGAAAACTACACATTGAATGACGTTTTACTTCAGTGAATGTGCCTTAATAGACTTTTGAACCTCTGTACAACTTAGCTTGTATACTCTCCTTCTTTCTTCCATCTGTCTTTTCTAATCAAATCACCAAGTCAGTTAACGAACACCTAACTAACCCTGTGTTAGACTGTGAGAGTCTAGCAATGCTCCTGCTTTTATATGGCTCACTGTCAAGTTTATACAGTACCGCTCCAGCTGGATTTCCGTGCTACTTCAGTCCCTTCTGATTTACTTCGACAGATCCTTGATTAGGGCTCTCACCTAGTCTACTTCTAACAAAAGAGCCCTATCCTAACCCAGGACACTAAACCACCTGCCCTACCCACCCTCAAAAGCAGGCAAACCTACATGTCTACTGGCCTGTTCTGGTTCTAGAATGAGCTCTGCTTAGTATTTAGCTCCTTCTTCACCATTTGAGTTTTTCTTCATTAATTCTGGCTCCAGTGAGGAAAAAGCCTTTCTAGAGAAAGCAGCATTTGAGCTGGAACTTGGAAGAAAAAAAAGTATATGGATTCATTTCCAGCTGAGAAAAGAGAATGAAGAAAGGTATGGAAGTCTGTCCTGATGAGGCAGAGCAGAATTACATAGATAATTTTTAAATACTAACAATGTCTGGGGCCCCAAAAGGAATGGGATACAATAAAGATAGTATAAATACCGTGAGAGCATGGATTTTTGTAGGCTTTATTGTAATGGGAGAAACAATGTCTCCATTTTTGAGCAATGTTTGCTTGGAAGCATGCACTGCACTTAATAATCTACCACGTCATTTAACCCACATAGACACAATGAAGTGAATGTTATAATTAGCACCATTTTATAGAGAAGGAAACTATCACTTAGAGAGGGGGAATTTGAATCCAGCTCTTTCTTAACCCGGAGCACTTGCTTTTACATTAAATTGCTTGGACAAGTCATTACACCTTCTGGCACCTTGAGAATCTAAGTCCTATTTCTCACATTGCTTCCTCAGGAAAATAGGTTATAACTTCTAAAAAATTAACTTTCAAATGAACTTCTAGAACACAATCTATTTATAACTAGATGGAATTGTTTATGTAGTCTACTTTTTTTTTTTTTTTTGCGGTACGTGGGCCTCTCACCGCTGCGGCCTCTCCCGCTACGGAGCACAGGCTCCGGACGTGCAGGCTCAGTGGCCATAGTTCACGGGCTCAGCCGCTCCGCGGCATGTGGGATCCTCCCGGACCGGGTCACGAACCCGCATCCCCTGCAGGGGCAGGCAGACTCCCAACCACTGCGCCACCAGGGAAGCCCTTGTTCATGTAGTTTAAAATGCCCTCTCTCCTCATGCAAGATGATGTTTCCTACAGAAATAGCAAACTCACTAGGTACGTGAAGACTTGAGGGAGAATATATGTCCTTATATAACATATTTTCTAATTCTAACCTGTTTTGAAAATGTTTACTTATCATTTTTTTTCTGCTCCACTAATTCATATTTATCCAAGACATATCTTGCGTTAACAGTCAATGCCTCTAAAATAAAGTGTACAAAAAGAGGACAGTAAAAGATAGCTACACTGCACGAACTTACCATTCATACCCAAGTTTGGATTCTGAATTTTTAATAAACTTTTACTTTCAAAGCCTTTGCCATTAAAACCTTTGCTTTACAAACTTTTTTCCACTTGTTATGCAGGAATGAATGAATCTCTCCCATCTAAAAACCACCCCTCCCCCCAACACACACACACACAAAATCACATTTCTAGTGTTTCCATTGATCAGTCAGAATTTACCCATCCAACAAATATTAAGATCCACCTATATGCTCAACACTGGGTCAACTGCTGGGGTCCAGGGCTGGGTCCAGGAGGCAAGATGTATGTAATCCACACACATTTCAATAGATTCACATGCTGTCTTTAAATTAAGGTAGTCCTCTGAACGAGACAATTGTCTTTTAAGGCACAGACCTTCTTGGGATACAGCTACACTACTTAAACTGTGAAAGACTTCATGTTTCTCCTGTTTTCCTATGGGTGCTTGACAGTTATTGATTTAAATACACACCCCAAAACAGTAAATGTTGGTATGTATATTTAAATGCTGGTAATGAGAATTAAAAATTGTGAACACCAACTACTTCAAGAAAAATAATAACATTGCCAGGGATGTTGTCCAAAGAATTAGTCAAGCATAAGTCTACAACCTTTAAAAGGAAAAACACACACATCCAATATTGTCCCCTAAATTATTATCAGTATAACACCTTGTTTTTAATTATCTACAATTCATATAAGAGCTTTACTGAAATTTTAATTGCAGGGTTTATTTTAATATATACTTGCTATTTTATAGCACTGGACATAAGTACTAAATTTTGAGATCTGTATATTAATAAAATCAGAGGGATTCTGATTGTTTCATTCAAAACACTCCTAATTTTGTGAAATTTTCCACCAGATCAAGAGTCCTTACTGCAGCCATGAAGGGAAAAGAGTAATTGACCTCTATACTGTTAAGTAAAAAATGTTTAACATTTATATCCAGAATATTTCAAATTGCATTTATTGATACCTGACAGCTTTTATTATTGATAACATAAATATAAACATAATTCTAATTTAAATTTGGAACTCTCAGTGATTTCAATATTAATGTGACATCTCTCTTTGTTGATTTACTGTAGAAGGACTTCACTCAAGTTAACTCAAAGGACCTGTTTTGCTACATCTGGAAATCCTGCTGAAAAATATGGCAAAGCTGCACTTGCTGCACATCAAGGAAAAGTAAGAGCAAGTTACAGGTGTCCAGACTGAGAAGTATCATGGCTAAGAATTGGGAAACTAGAATAAGACTACCTAGGGTCAAATATTGCCATTAGCATTTACTGGCTCTGCGACCATGGACCCCATCTTCCAAGTAAGAGTGATAAGATAAAAAGACATAACTCACCGAAGGCACTTAGGCAAGTGCCAGGCAAAAATAAGAGTTCAGTATAAACAACCTATCACAAAATAAACTGACATTGCTGGGAACATGCTAAGCATGGACTGTTTCATTTAATCCTCACAACACCACCAAAAAGTATGTGCTATTATTATCCTTATCTTATATGTAGTTGATATTATGTTAAAGAGAGAAAGAGAAGGGTGGGGGGAGAAAGGAAGGAAGATTAAACTTCTTAAAATGAAAAGATTAGATAACAGAGAACTTGTTCATGGACGGTGTTTAACAATTCTGGATGTTATAAATTTATAACTAATTAGCTGAATATTTATAAGCAACTACATTTAACTACAGACATTTATCAATTACTCAGTGCCTAATTATAAAGTCTACTTATTACCTGGGATTTTTATTGCTTCTCTTTTCCATCCATTTCATGGCATATATAGTTGCTGTCAGAAAAACAAAGCTAAGTCAGACTTTAGATCAATTACACATACTTAGTCGGTATCTCTTACACGCATAGCACTGTGAATATCCCTGTTTGGGGAGGAGGGGAGAAGTGAACCAGGGAATGATATTGTTAGGGATTAGGGAGAGACTGAACAAACAAAACCTGGTGGGAGAAATTAAAGACACCCATCATCATGAATAATCAAGATAGGTTTTTAAAAACTTAGTTAAAGCTTCAAAGCAAAAGAAAAATTCCATTTAAATAACCATTAGCAGATTAAATACATTTGTTCTAGTAACATTTCCTTGGGCACTTTTCTTCCCTAGCACTCATCTGACCTCCTTAAAATTTGTCTGCATCTTTTGTTTCTCAGAACTGCTCCTCAGGCAAATTTCCTGTGCTACATCTCCAAAGACAAATAGAGGTGAAGAATGTTTCATAGTAAAATAATAATTTCCCCAGCATTATTAGTTCATCTCTGCTCACACTGGAAGTACTTAACATTGTAGTTTGCTTTGTCACCTGCATGCACTTGATTTATCAATATAGATGTAGAAAATAATTTGTATATTTACATAGTGTATACTTCATTCTTTTGTCATTCCAATGGACCTCGTTTTGTGTCCTCCTCATAAAGCTGACTATATGTTTTATTAAAGTATATCTGGGATTCATTGTAAGGTTTAAGAAAAATCAGTAGCCTTAGAACTGGACATATCTAGGTTTGCACCCTAGGGTTCCCCTCCCTAACTATGTGGCCTTAAGCAAATCATTTAACCATCTTAGATTAGTTTCCTCTTTTCTAAAATTACAATAATTATCCTTGCCATAATTATCCCATAAAATGTCTGGAAAACCCGGATGTAATATATGTGAATTAAAAAAAAATTTGGTATTACTAGAGTATCTCTGGTCCTGATGTAGTTTATTTTGTCTCTGACTTTAGTCCTAGAAATAAAAGATCTTTCCAAGTAATTAAACGAAATGTGTTGCTGGTCATACTGTTGATAGAAGTCTCAGATGTTTGAATACTTATCCCACTAAATGCTTAGCCAATGAC